GAATAACTATAAACTGTATGTGAGTTAGTAGATGTTCTCAGACATGTTCTCCCCCACTGTTTAAAGACAGCTAAGTATTAATAACACAGCCCGGAGGCACGGCGGTCTCACTTCTATCATCACAGAAGAGAAATATAGCAGTTTGAAAAATAGGTTAGCACAGAGGAGAATCATTCAAATTGTAATTATTTTCTGTGTCTTTTAGATGGATTGATTGAAAAATGAAATGAAGTTGCATCATCATGAAGTTTGGCTCCTGGTCACATTTCTGAAACCATAATAACCCACATCACCCTTATGGAACTACTAATATCTAGATAAGAGGGTAAGAAAAGGGAAGTATCCTCTCAACAATTTCCATGGATTTTTTTGTTTTTGTTCCTGCTTGATATGTTACAGAAATTTTAAAGCCTAGCAACCCAATATAGAGAGCTAACCTCATAAGGGCCACATAATTTACCACCCTCTTTATCTGAAATAAGATATCTCATTTTAATGAAGAACTGAAATATATTCATCCACACAGAACATATTAAATCCATTTTTAATACTAAAAATAATTCGATTTTCATGTAGAAGCTACATGTCAAAAAGAGAAAAAATATCCTCAACTGAATAGAATGCTTACAAAAAAGTCATCAGGATAGACTATTATAAGCAAGTAAAAATCAGAAGCACGAAGACAAATCAGAAGCAAGTAGCCATATCTTACCTTTTCTGCCTGTTCATAGACCTCTTCTCTGTTGCTGCAGTCACACTTGTAGGCAAACACTCTTTTGGCGCCTTTCTCTTGGGCTAATGCTCTTGTCTCTTTGTTACCTTCTTCGTCAATGTCCCAGAGAACCAAGGTTGTTCCCAGAGAAGCAAACTTTAAGGCAAGCTGCCTTCCAATCCCCTTTGCAGAACCAGTGATAAGAACTATTTCCCCAGCAAGATTTTTTTTGCATGGACTGCAAATGCATGAGATGAAAGTCAAACAGAGCGAAGTAATGACAAATTTGAGGAACTGTGGTATCTTCAGGATGCTTCTGAAGCTGATCATGATTTTTCAGGCACAAGGACTAAGTATGAAAACCCAGAAATACAATATTTTACTGGAACAGCAAAACACTGAGAGATAG